TACGTAGAGCCATCGATTGTCTCGCCAGTGGGAAAGCCCCGGGCAATGATGGTATCCCACCAGAAGCTTTCAAATGTGGAAAAGGAGTACTATTACGGCCCTTACACGATCTCCTTACTATGTGCTGGGACAGGGACAGCTACCACAAGAGTTGAAAGATGCAAACATCGTTACATTGTACAAAAATAAAGGAGACAAGAGTGACTGCAACAACTATCGTGGAATCTCCCTCCTCAGCATAGTTGGAAAGGCTTTCGCCCGAGTTGCATTAACACGCCTACAGACCCTAGCATCGCGTGTACTCCCAGAAAGGCAATGTGGTTTTCGCGCCGGTAGGTCAACCATAGACATGATCTTCTCTCTGCGCCAGCTGCATGAGAAATGCATGGAGCAACATATGCCTTTAGAAATTGCGTTTGTCGACCTCACTAAGAATTTTGATCTTGTCAGCAGAAGCGGCCTGTTTCAGATCCTAAAAAAAGATAGGCTGCCCTACACAACTGCTTAACATCATCAAGCAGTTCCACGAAAACATGCAGGGCACAGTGTGCTATAACGGTGCCGCCTCAGAAGCTTTTCCAGTGGGTAGTGAAGTAAAGTAAGGCTGCGTGCTGGCCCCTACTTTATTTGCAATCTTTTTCTCCATCCTACTCCAGTATGCCTTTAAGAACAACAGCGAGGGGATATACATCCACACTAGAACTGACGGCAAATTATTCAACATTGCCCGCCTTAGAGCTAAGACTGAAACAAGAAAGGTCATGCAGCGGGAGTTCTTGTTTGCGGACGATGCCGCTTTGGTATCTCACACAGCTGACGGCCTGCAGAGCCTCGTATCCAGCCTATCCGCTGCCTGCAAAGAGTTTGGCCTGACAATTAGCCAAAAGAAAACTAACATTATGGCACAGGGCGCTGACTCCCTCCCCACTATCGCGATGGACGACTACGACTTGGATAATGTTGACAGATTCACATATCTGCATGGGATCCAACATATCGAGCACCTTCTCAATGGAGGATGAGATAAGTGGAAGGATAGGGAAGGCCGCAACTGTTATGGCCAGACTGAAGAAAAGAGTCTGGTCAAACGCCTAACTCACAACAAGAACTAAGCTGCAGGTGTACCCGGCCTGCGTACTGAGCACACTCCTGTATGGATGCGAGTCATGGACCACATACTTTAACCACGAAAGAAAGCTCAATGGCTTCCACCTCAGATGCCTGCGCCACATCCTTGACATTAAATGGCAAGACAAAGTCCCCAACACGGATGTCCTGTCCCAAACAAAAATTTGTAGCGTCCCAGCCATGTTAATCCAAAGACGCCTCCGCTGGCTTGGACACGTCAAGCAAATGCAACCTGGTCGCATACCAAAGGACGTGCTATACAGCGAGCTGGCGACAGGGAAAAGGTCATTTGGACGGCCTCGTATGAGATACTTAGACATATACAAAAGAGACATGAAGTCTGCTAATATCGGCATCTCAAACTGGGAGGAGTTGGCAGAGAATCGATCCTCATGGCGGGACATTGTGAAGGCAGGATCACTACATGCCGAGGAGCAAAACAGGGCGGAAACAGCTGCTAAAAGAGCGAGGAGGAAGGCCGGTAAATACTGCTCCACCGCATTAGTGTGTGGGAAATGTAACAGAGACTGCCATTCGAGGATTGGTCTCACCAGCCACACCAAGAGATGCAAGCAATAAAGATAATCTATCGTCTCCCGCAGACGGAAAGATGCCATACATACATAATAATATTCTAAGTATAAGAATCCGTAAAAATTAAAAACATTACAAATGAATTTTTACCTATTTATATTTATAGGGTTAAGAAATTTAATATTTTACCAAATTATTTAAATTTAAATAAAGAAAAGTTTTTTTGAAGACACATTTTCAATCGAAAACCAGAAATACTCAAAACTTAATATTTTCCCCGACTCGTCACTAGTATCGCCCCCTAACATTTGAGCACGATTGTCCTATTTCGATTGTCCTATTTCGATTGTCCTATTTCGATTGTCCTATTTCGATTGTCCTATTTCGACGGCTGGGTCAGCAGTGAAAAGCAAAAACAAAAATACGTGACTCACTAATATCACTACCAGAATACATGCTTCGATATCAAGAAACAAAATGATGACCAGGGTCAGCGTTCATCAAAAGGCGTTTCTCAGCCTACCATTGATACTGATTCTCCCGATACCTACAGCATACATTCTTTTCAGTAAATAGTGGAGAAAATGGAAGAGATTGACGAGGAAACACAAGTAAACGACATGGATGATTTGGAAACAGAAATGTCTGATGATTATGTTGATTCCAGCCAAGATACAGTGTAATGGTTAATGACAAAAACTGGCACATTTTATCAGATGCGTCTCTCTGGAGGAATGTACCAGATTATTTTCGGTCTGAAATTATTAAAATATGGAGTACTTCGTTTTAGAACAAGGACGGAATATTCAGCGTAGTGACAAGGCAAAATGCGAAATCTAAAGGAGGTTTTTGTCAACTAACAAAACAATGGATCTACGGGATGATGCAAAGTGACGAGAAAATACTGCGGTCGTGGATGGTTTATTCACTCGTCAGTCAGAAATTGTATTGTTTTTGTTGCAGATTGTTTGTTTCTAATGTTACAGAAGCAACATCCAAATTTGGTACTGGATAGTTTCTCTTCCTTTTATTTCGCTAAGCATTTTTTATTACAAAATGTGTGTATGTGGCTTCATGTGAGCGAAGCTTTTCAAAACTAAGGCTTATCAAGAAATATGTATGATCCACCACGGGACAGTCAAAGCTTTCTGATGTGGCGCGGCTATCAATTGAAACTGATACAGTGAAGGACATTGATTTTGATAAAGTCATTCACAGGTTTGCAGCTTTGAACACCAGAAAGGAAAATTGTAAATAAAATAAATTTAAGGTAAAAAGAACTGTAACTTTACGTTGTTACATTTTTAAATAATGACCTTATGACCTTCGAGTTATGCGTTTTTGTTCTTGCCGTTGTTATACTGTGGACTTATTTTAACAAGAAGAGGAAATCCATCATGGAAGTTTGGGGGGGGGGGGGTAGACACCATGGGTTTACCGCACCGGGGGACACCACCCTAGTTCCGCCACTGGGTTATTTTTTTTTCAAATTCATTCTTTTTTTTTATAAATAATGAACTTATGACCTTCGTGTTATGCGTTTTTGTTCTTGCCGTTGTTATACTGTGGACTTATTTTAACAAGAAGAGGAAATCCATCATGGAAGTTTGGGGGGGGGGTAGACACCATGAGTTTACCGCACCGGGTGACACCACCCTAGCTACGCCACTGGGTTAATTATTTATCAAATTCATTACTTTATTTTGAGACGTATCTTGTGCTGCCTGGGGCAAAGTAACCAACCCCTCCCCCACCCAGATTTAAAAAAAAAAATAGAAACTGTTCTACCGGATTGTTCATCGATTTGATATTTATATCGCGCTGGTATCCATGCCACTTTAGTATGCTCACTGCACTCTGGTGCTTCGAAATCTATTGAAACAAAAAAGTTTTTAATTGTTTCTTAAATTATTTTTTATCATTTACAACTCCCCTCAAAGATTGAGGAAAACTGTTCCATAATTTTGGCGCTATCGCTTCAAAAGAGCGTACTCCGTAAGACTTTTTTCTGTGTTCATCCACTCTAGGAACACTCAGGCTCTTCAGAAGTACATGTCTATAATTGAGTGCCTTGAGATTGCTGCACTGTTTGACTTAAACCGCATTTTCTTATTATAATTATATTTAAAGGTTAGTTTTTATTACGTTATAATTTTAATAAATGTATATTTTTGGAATAAAAAAAGGAAAACTTTTTAAATGTTAAAATAAACACAGCTGAAAAGTGATTGTGTTTTATTAATAATTTAAAAATCAATCAATTGTATTGATTAATTTTACTTTTAAGAAGGGAAAATACATTATCAGTTTTGTCACGCATGGTTATTAAATTTAAAGAAACCCAAGAGTTTTGGAGAAATAGGCTATTCGCGCTATGACGTCATTTGCGTGATTATTTAGAACATATTACTTTAAAATTTTATTTCGCAATGTTAACAATGCACTAAAAGTCGCATTAAAAACGACTGATGTTTGGGTTTTCCAGATAAATGTGATTTCGATGTAATTCTTCGATCATGATTTTTTAATTTTTTTCATAACTTTAAACACATATAAAATGCTTCAAATAGTTCCTTAGTTGATACTTTAAGTGTATCTGTAATTTATAATAATACTTAAACATTTACTAAAATAAAAGGGGATTTAAAATATTTTTTGCGCATTTAAATTTATTCTATTTGCGTAAAATAATAGAACAAAATAATGTCATTTATCTGTTTTCTGAAAGAATTTTTTTTTTAAAAATTCCTATGAAGTATTATGGTTTAAGTTTAATATTAAATACGTAGGGCTGGTATAAAAAGTGTTTATCCACCTCAGCCTAAGAAACACTTTTTATACCTGGACAATCAACTCAATGAAATGGTGTGTGAACACTTAAAATATGTGCTCCCGCCCCCTTTTTTCTCACTAACATTCACATTAAAAAAACAAAAACAACATTGTTTTAAAAAGAAACAAACTTTCAGGTAAAATGTTCTGACAAGGTTTATTTACATAATTTATGTAATAATGAAATCAACTGAGATGGTATCGCAGTAAGAATCTTTACTCATCATCCAACATGCATTCACTCCCCATTTATTTCACCCTCACAAACACAATTCTTACTGTCACTACCTGGCTTCAAGTTAAAGGCATCCACTCACAAAATGCTGTTATAGTTATTGGTATAAAACAAAGTTGGATGGACACCAGGTGCCTGCACACAAATCTTTCAAACACACAGAATGATTGCAGTTTAAAAAAAAAAGTGAATTATGGAGCTAGCAGTAATAAATACTACATGGTGGACATTCATAATAACAGTTGCATCACTTAGCTCTCAGCCCCCCCCCCCTCCCGCATAAAATGTCCACACAGCATTCAGTTGAAATTTCCAGTAAAATATGTACAATTCTCTCCTTAACAATCTATCCTATGCAATGCTTAGTACAATATAGAAAAATGGTATTTTGGGGCCTGGGCCAATATTTTCACACCATTGACAGCCTATTATGCTTGGAACCTAATACTCATTGCACATGCCTGAATTGGACATCATTGCTGATCCATAAGGTTTTAACAGAGAGAGAAATTTGAGTAAAATCAAGTAGTGGATATTTTCACAATTATTTCCACAAGAACATCCCGACTGTAATTATTCATGTTTACAAGCTGCCTGGGCAAGTACTAGTTACAACCAAGATGCTGGCTAACGGTTTATTGAATAGACAAAAGTGCTATTCACAGGGATGCGGATCAAATCGAAATTGTAAGACAAACTACCTTATGAATAAATATGAACCAGCTCATAAAGCTGCGACCTAAGTTATTGAATTGTCCTTATATCCTTTATTTGAAATGAAACAACTCCATCTGTTTCTGAAACGAACACTCATTCAATAAGTGACTAATGTATTATCTCCAACCCTACATATTTAAAACCCATATTAACATTTGCAGCCCTTTTTTAACTTTGTATAACTTAATTGAGCCACTGCCAAGCTTTGCTCTTTCATATATTAAGGCACAAAATGACTGCTGCAATGTTACTTATTTACTGTACAAATCACTTTATGTCATTTAAATACTGTAGCTAAAGGTTTTAAATAGATAATTTTCTGTTAAATTAAAATAATATCAAATAAATGACTACTATACTTCTTCTGTTTGGTCCCACATTATATTAAGTTATAATAATATCAAGAATTCTTGCCAATACCATTATGTTCCTTCCAACTCCATAAAAAATGAAACAAAACCCTTTTGTTGCAGTTCGAAGTCCTGTTATACAATTTTGATCGCTTAATGACTCAAATGAGCAAACACCTACAAATTTAAAACATCCTGAATCAAGTCTCTGCAATCACACATCGTTGTACTGAGAAATTATAACTTACATGCCCTTAAAACAAGCATTTGTTACAGAATATACAAAATAAAACTTGTGTTAAAAATTACCTTTCCTTCAGTCTATTAATTCCTCTATACATTGGGAAAAGATGAGATGAAATGTAGAAAGCAACAGAAATGTTCAAAATCAAAAAAAAGGATTAAAAAAATTACTTAAAATATATTAGAATTTACTTGTAGATATGTAACACTGAAATGGGCAACTCTCTGAAAATGAACCCATAATCAAGAGATATGTTAGGTGTCATACTTAACTAGTGGCTATTGTATTTGTTGGTATGAAATTTAAGACAGAAAAGTAATAATTTCAATAGGTTAGTTAAAAGAAAAGATTTGTCTGAGAAATTAAAATAAATATCCAGACAGTTTCTATACAACAAACTAAGTTTTCTGATAAAACCACAGTATGATACAAAGAGATCAATTAAATAGTACAAAATAGTTTGTACTGACATCTTATGCAAGGATGGGTTTTTATTTGAAAAATAAGTGATTGCATAGACAACAGCATAAAACGTCAAGGTTGATGCATCCAATCGAAAAATATCTCAATTTTTTGCCAGCATTACTTGGTGTTTTTAAACTTTGATACAATTGTTTTGATAGTGTTACAGTTATTCCATGGCCTGAAGAGGGAGGCGGGGGTCGTTGCCCAGAATTTCTGTAACTTGGCATCAAAACAATTCCCTACACTTTAAGCATGTGCTTCAGTTCTGGTGAAAAATCTGAGATGACAAGAGCAGGCTCATCTCAGTCAATAAGACAGTTGGAAAATAAAATCGACAGTTTTAAATGAATGCATGACTCAAGTCTCAAATATATAATATAAAAAAAAAAAACAAGTCACTAAAGTAAAAAAAAATTGCTATGCTCTCACAATACCTATGTACATATCATTATCTCATGTTATATTATCCTTTGGATTCATTTATTAAGTATCTAATTAAGAAATAGTATTGAAAACTAATGAAAAAAAAATGGCTAATTATCCACATGGCAGTGCAAATAGGAATACTTGAGTAAATTGTATGAATACATTTGATATTTTAGCTTTCTTTAGAAGAGCCAGAGATAACAAAAGTATATTTCTTGTACAGGTTAAGCTCACTGACACAACAACTGTCTATCTCAGTTTAAATCTCATCAAATTTACCAAGGGACAAGCAAATAAGTTTTCATAGATTGTAGGGTAGTTCCCCATTGGAATTAAATATAAGCAATGAGACTCTCACTGCAAAAAATTTAAAAACATAAATATAATTATATTTTAATATAGTGCTTTTTTGAACAGGTATTTGTTTAAAATTAAGTAATGCTTTGTTTCTACATTAACAAGGAAGTACATTAGAGATCCAACTTTGTATTAACACTGATGAAGAAATGGTTCTTCCTCAGAAAATATGACACATGCCACCTGCAGCAAAATTTGTTATAAGCTCAGGCCAGCCGAGGGATGACAGTTACTCCAATGTACACACTTTTTGTTAAAGTCCATATAAACAATCACAGAATAATGTTTCCTCTCTTAAGACTATTTAAATTTTTGGTTAGATCTGGTTTCATAATAGAACTTAGTGATGCAATAAGTAAGAAATAACTATACAGCATGACAACAACAAAAAAACACCATGTAACAAATGAGAAATTATATTTTTGTCATTCAGTTTCTCTGTACATAGTGATTATGTATTTACAAATAATATGAGTCTCATTAGCAAGGACTTCTTTCCGAGCTTATTTAAAATTTACAGCAACAGCAATGTCAGCAACAAACATACACATAAGTGACAATTTCTGTAAAAAATATAAAACAACTCTTAATGAAAACAACATTGATCACATTTGTTCAAAGAAAATGGTGTTTTTCTGTACATAAAACAAATACAGCAAAAATTTCTTGATGATAAGTTACTAGATAGGAATTTATACAAACACTCACACACAAAATGGACTACATTTGGTTCACATAATGAGCTAATTGGTCCTGAGGTGTCAGGGGTGCTACCTCATTGTCTTGCTGTCCCATGTTCACATCATTAGATGAAAGTTGCGACATGGAATTATGAGTTTGTAATGGTAGCATGACATGGTCACTATTGATTTGTGAATTGTCCTGTCCCACCCCCATGACATGAAGAGGTGAGGCATTGTTGACCATATTATGATGTGGCGAGTGCTGTAATTGGCGAGGTGAAGGAATGGGTTGTTGCCTAGGGGAAGGTGTAGGTTGGGGAGAGCGAACTGTCTGAGGTAGACCAGCAGCAGAAGCTGGGGGTGAGCGCACACCCTGGAGAATTTGTTGGGAATTGGGATTAGCTTGTTGGGACAGCATGTATTGAGGGCTCATGGGTTGGCCACCAACCATTTGCTGTTTCAATTGGGCTTGGTGGTGAAGCATGTGTTGCTGCTGTTGTTGAAACTGGTGCATGTTGTGCCCAGTGTCATTCTGAAAAGATTGTTGAAAGTTAGTTCTTGGACGTTGGACAAAGGGCTGCTGTGGCTGAGCAAACTGGTTTATTTGTGAGGTTTGTGGCTGCTGAAGTTGCTGCTGCTGCTGTCTGTATTGTTGTTGCATTAACTGACTCATTTGGTTACGCATCTGTTGCTGCTGCTGAGCCTGTTGCATCTGCCCACTAACCTGTTGGGGCATAGGCTGAACCATATTTGACATACCAAGCATCTGCTGGGATTGCTGTTGTTGTTGCTGCTGCTGCTGTTGTTGTTGTTGCTGCTGCTGTTGTACTTTCTGGTTTTTAAGTTTCAGCACTTGGGCCATGAGCTGAGGATTCTTTTTCAAGACAGCAACCCATTCAGCTTGAGAAAAGTTTTGATTTTTGAAAGCTTGCAACATGTTGTGGACTGCAGGACCTATAGCTCCACTTACTCCAGCACCAGTTGGACCAGGAGCAACAGTGCCTACACTTGGTCCTATGGTAGACACTGCCTGCTGTTGAGGCTGCTGTTGCTGCTGTGGAATACTTGACATTCCTGGGAGCCTTACAACATTGGCACCAATAGGGGGTCTCACTTGTGTTTGTGGAAAAGAGGGAGGCCATGGTGGTCGATTTGCATTCATAGGCTTACCAACTGAAGTCACAATAGTAGGAGGTGAGGGTCTAGCAGGTGGCTGCATAGGGGGTTTACCTATTGACCCAATGCCTGGTACTCCAGTTCCTTGCCTCTGAGCTTCTGCTTGCACTTGGGCTTCTTGGGCTGCGATTATAGCCGCTCTAGGCGGGCCACCAGCTGCTTTTCCAACACTACCGCTATTGTAAGGGGTAGATGTTGATGGCTGAGGAGAAGCATCTGGGGTAGTCAAACTAGAAGGTCCATTACTTGAAGTAGCATTGCTACTACTATTTCCATTCATGATAGCAACACGTCGCCTGAGCATCTGAGCCTGATGCAGGTTGGTAAGAAGTTGCTTTTGTCTTAGTTTGTGCTTCAGCTGAGGGCAGAATGGTACTGGGCATTTAGCTTCCGTACAATGTTTGGCATGGTAACAACAGAGTGCTATAAGTTGTTTACAGATTGGACAGCCATTGTTTGTCTTACGCCTGCAGCTCATAGTATGTGAAACAACACGTTTCATCTTGATGCATGAGTTGATACGACAGTTAGCATTCTTGCACTGGCACGCATGTACCAAGGAAGTTATACAGCGCTGAATAGATTTTCGACGGGATTCCTGGGGGTTTTCTTCTTTATCTGTACTGCTAGCAATCTCATCTAGACCCAATCCTAGCTTAGTCATCTCGTGGGCATGGTTTTCCTTTTTGTAACAGGGGATACAGAGATCAAAGTCCTGTAGAATAAAGAAATCCAAAATTATATTACATTAAAGAAAGAAAATGGAAGAAAAAGGATAAAAAAAATAATTTAAAAAAAAAAGTGAATTCTTTAAAAATAATGTTAACAATTAAGATGATTTAATTGAAATCAAAGTTAACTTACATCACAAGTGTTACAGTGGTAGCGTGTCTCAACAGCTGCTTTACAACTGTTACATGTGTACACAAATGCATCTTTTCCTTGGTTGTGTAACTCATACAGTAGAGCCACAGAAGAAAGTTTGGCCCTTCGCAAAGAAGAAAATTCATAATGTTTCTCTCTTGCTGTTGTCAGGAAGGCGTCACGACCATCCATCAAATCACAACTCATGGCCGGATCAGGTTCTGTGATTGGTGGCAGAGATGCTGCTATTTGCTGGTTATGTAGGCGTATAACAAAGAAAACCTAAGGGAATAAAAACAAAAGTGATTAAATACATATAGAATAAGCAACATTTTTTGTTGCGTCTTTCCATTCAAGTCTAAAATTGAATCTGTAATTGAACTATACCAGGTTTAATAATCAAAACCAGAACTATAAATTTTTTTTATAGTAAAAATAAAAAAATAAAGGTAAGGACAAAATGAGTGTCAAAAATAAATAAAATGTCAATTATCTCAATCACATTTTAAATTAGTCACGAAAATAATTATACTACAATGACAGTAGTACAAAAGCAACAAAGAAGTTATCTTCATTTACATCTAATTGCACTGATATTTTTAATAATTTGAATCCACACACATTTCATTAGTTCTTAACAAAAAACTGTATTGGTAAACAACTTCTATTTAAGTGATATATTGTTTTCTAAATATACAATATTGAAGGTCCCTTTATAAAAAAAAATAATAAGCAATCCATTTACAAATGGTTGTTACCTCTTTATGTTTTTCCATATGGTTGTATAGTTTGGCTGTCAGATCATTTGTACCCTGTGGAAGATTTGTCTTGCGGTTGTTTTTCCTTGCACTTCCCTTGCTTTTGTTAGCTTTTTTACTTCGCTGACCTTTCTTCTCTCCTTTCTTTTTTCCAGAAACTTCCTGTTTATCAGAAAGATTTAACTATTTTTTAAATGCAATCATTAAAATTGCTCTTGAAGTAAAGAAATGGAGTAAAATTTACCAAATAAATGTTAAATGTTATTCAGATCTTACAATAAGAAGGACTGAGGTGAAAACTTTTTTAAAAAAAGATGACACTAACAGTATATTAAAAAACAAAAAAACCCAACTTAAAATGCATCAGGACCTATTCCAAACATAAATCAAACCCAACAACAAATTATGTTTAAAAGCTTCCTTTGAAGAAATATCGGTGGCATTTCATGTTTGAAAATGTTGACCTACTAAATTTAATAAGGTGTGTTACTAACAAAAAACCCCCCCAATGAATTAGTGAATCCTGATTTCAAAATAGTAGTGACGATAAACTTACAGCATCATTTGTCTCTTCAACTGTATCTTGAGCCTCTGCTTCTGCTGCCTCTGCTTCTTCCCTCTTACGCTTTTCTTCCTCCTCCTGATCCAATTCCTTGATACTATCTTCTATTACATTGGGCCAAAAGTCTCCCTCAAAGTATGCCATGTCTTTTGCAGTACTCAAACCACTATCAATAGCATCTTTAAAAATGTCCTGCAAAGATTTAAGAAAAAAACATTTAAAAAAAAAAAAAAAAGTAATCTGGCATTTTGTTTATTTATTGGCAATATTTAAATAAGTTTTTGGTATATGCTTTTTAAAAAGCTGAAGCATAACAATTAAATTGATGTCTTAAGTCAGATATATTTATTTATTTATTTATTTAGGCATTTTTATATAGCGCTTATCATAAAGCTCTAAGCGCTTTACAATTATTAAAACATGTGAACTAAGTAAAATAAAAATGAGACACTAGGATAGTAACTACTATTCTAACAGAAAATGAGGTAGGGCAAGGAGGGTGCATCACAGGTCATAGGCGGACCTAAACAGATGAGTTTTAAGGGACTTTTTGAAACTGGACGAGGTTTCACTATGACGTATATGGAAGGGGAGCTGGTTCCAGAACGTGGGCCCATGGAAGCAGAAGGAGCGTTCACCGATGGTCTTAGTTTTAGTTCTTGGATTTAGTTTTATATCAGTGAGGAAAAAAAATGGATGGAATAATTTCTGAATTGCAAATGTATGCTAGAAACCCTGGCCATAATAAAAATGTCTCGTAAACTCTTTGAACAAATTTGACTCTTGTTGATCAAAATTTTGTATCAAAGCTCTTATTCAAATTTAGTGATTCATTGATAACACAGAATCTCATTAAAAGTAGTTAATTTCATTAGAAATCATTAAAAATCAAGTATAACAAATCTGCTTGTGTTAAATTTCACAACTTCTTTATACAAAACAATGTTTTCTAAAAATATAGCCATGAAAAATTTAACTTCTAAATACCATATTTAAAAGTATTTTTTAATGCTTGCATAGATGTTTTAAAAAACATGCTTACTTTGTAGTCTACTACAACACGATCAATAATAGCTTTGTCTAGCATCTTCTTATACCAGTCTTGAAGTCTTTTGGGTTTAGGTATTTTCTGCTCAGGTGGGTGACAGTGGAAAATATAGTCATCACCTTCACTAGGCGGACAGGCCCAAATATGGGCAGTTGTATAACCCAGTGTTTTAGCATATTCAAGATAGCCAATGAGGAGTTCATGATAAACAGCAGTTCTCAGGTGTCTTGGTCGGAAGAAATGAACACTGTCCAAGTAAGATATGTAGACTCTCCTATTCAAGAGTATAACATTAAAAAGGGGACCTTAAAAAAAAGTTACATAGACATAAATTTTCTGTTTCAAAATAAATATTTCAAATGCTGTTTCAATATTTTATTTTGAGACCAAAAAAGCCCCCAATGATATACAGTTGATAAAGATAATACTTTAAACAAAAATATGTTAAAGAGCATGGGTTTGAACAAGTTCTTGTTAGTTGGATAGAAAAATTTTCACAAGTCAACTAGTGTAAATTATGAACTGCTTTAAGGTATATACAGTTAGCCTCCTGGTATAATCAACAATGCACATCTTCTTTGACCATATGTTAGCAAAACATTACTACCCAACTAAACAATCATAGAAGATGGACAATTGACCATCATTTATGTGAATTGTTAATTTTAAAATCTTTAATCACAGTAAAAGGTGTCAGAAATTTTGAAATTGGGAAAAAACAGTGTGCACTCGTTTCAAAGGTTATTATTACCTTGTGTTTGGCATTGGACAAGATGAGCCATATTCTTGAACATGCATACCAAAGAAGCAAACATCAACACCATCGATTTCTTCAAAGGCAAACATTGCCTTTGCTCGGTATGGATAGGATTCAGGTATCTCATCACCAAATCTGAAATAAAATATTTAATTTACTTTCAAAGCCCTCTGAAACAAAAAATTTGCTGCTAAGTTATTTCATAGTGTTAATGACATCAACAGTATTAAGTATAACTTACAAATACGACAGTGGTCAGAAAGGTACAACTAAATATTCTAATATAAGGTCTCATGTATGTTTCAAAAAATGATAGCTGAGAATAAAATTAAATTGCTATGTAATGAAAAAGATTAGATTATTTTTTCTTTACAATAGCAATACTGAATAAAACTGGAACATGAATTAGAAAATTTTCTAAAATTATTTTGACTTACCGCTTTTTCATTAATGGTTTGACTTCCGTCATTTTATCATAGCTGGACAATACCCTAATTGTGACCTCACCCGCTTGGGTTTCCTTTTTACGAAGAAAGTTGTTTATTCTATTCTCAAGAAATGTACCCAATTTGGTTGTTGGTAATTCTGAAAATATAAAAATGAGAATTAGTTATAATCAAGTTAAACTTAAAATGGAATGTTAAGGGATATTACTTCCTCATCTTGCCTCATTGCCATAAAATGTGACATGTAATAGGCAAATGAAAGAACTTTTGATCTTTTGAAGAGAAAATCAACATCTTTTTAGGGCTAAAAACATTTATTAATAAACCAATAATACATTTACAAAGTTAAAAGAATGTAAGTAGAGTAGAACAATAAATGTGGGAATACAACTTTTTATAATTCTCTATAGCAGACCTGTTTACCCTCTAACTCCTAAAATCATCCAGTATTGTCTCAAAATCAAACAGAACAGCAAAATTAAATAAATAACATAACATAGTGTATATATATTATGTATAAAATAACTACTAGCATCGTGTGTCTAGTGAGATCGAGTTAAACTAACATTTTTAAAAAGTAGATGGTCGACTATATTGCAATCTGCAGTAACTTTGCTTTCCAGATGTGCATTTGCTTTTGATATTAATATATATTGAATGGATTTGCAGATCACATTATCACAGTCACTGGTAAAAATAAAGTTACTGGTGAAATTTAATATGGTTCAAACTTGAACTCAGATCAGCATAAAACAAGATTTATTTAAATAGGAATTAGTTAACAAATGATGACATCATTTAAAAAACCTACCAATTAACTTGAGATTATTTAGGAAAAGCTGGTTAAAAAAAAAAGGATCAATATCCATTAAGCCAATTTCCTGCTAATATATTTTAGACTGAAAACTATCACAAGTTGTAAATGGGTGAAAGGTAGACAAGTGTTGGAACCATAAAGGGATATTAAAAATTAAATTTCAGCTAAATTTTAAAATAAAAATGGCTTACAGCTAATAAAAATAACAACATGAGTCAACAACTGATTTTTTTAAATGACCAATGGGATTAAATCAATCAGATAATATTGAATGATTAAAAACTATCTACATTTAAAAACCTAATAGCAATGTCTATATAATACACATACTTTTGGCTGTAAATTTGTTTTCTTTTCGTTTAGTCCCCTTGGCCTTATGACAAGCATCACAAGTCCAGCTGTAGAAAGAGTGAAAATAAGATATTAAAATGCCTGAAACAAAAATGTAATGCCTTTAAAGACAACAAACCCCTTAACTCTTCCTCTCCAGAACAACGCTCCCATTGTTGATTTGAAATGAAGATTTTGGTGTATTGACGACGGGATCGTCGATGAATAAAAACCTGTTTATTTTGGTTCTCTTCTTAGCTATTGGTTTTTAATTATTTTAGAATGATTTCCCTTTGTATAAACATCCGTTTTTTTCTGTGTTTGAAACGAGGTTTTACGTAGAGCGAAGTGTTTGAAGCGGTTGTTTTCATTGTCCATTTATTTTTGTTTACAAACATGAAATCTTGACCTGACCCATCTGGTGATCAAACTAATAAAGGTTGAAAATATTACTCTGAGGATGAATCAGACAGTGATTTTATCATTTCAAAAGCAGAGGCTGATTCTGTTGAATCGTATGATTATATATTATCCTAGTACTAGTATTAGTAGTACAAGTGTCGAAATAATGAAATCGGTAATTCATCAGCTGATGAACTACCAGCCCCGCCCCCCGAGCTAAAGTGCACATCCATATGGATTATTTTTTAGGCTCACCATAGCTAATCCCAGATGAGTCTATTTAACATAATAAATTTTAGTACATACAAGAATACAGTGCAAATATTTTATAATAGCTACAAATTGTTTCCAGTAAAAGTAGTTACATTTTTTTCGCAAATTTTTTGTGTGACGGCGACAATGGCTAATGTGCTCAGGTGTTTAATTTTTTCTTTTTTTTAAAGTTGATCTTTATTATTTGTGATGCATTTATGGATATAGTTCAGAAAAAACACATTTTTGTTACAGTTTGGATTATATATTTCTTTTCGTGTGACTTTGATTGAGGGTTTTGTTTTTTTAAACCCAAGTCTGGTTTGCTTGTAAAGGGCATACATTCCCCTTTAATTCCATACCAAACTTAACATTTGCTGATGAAAAACAAAAAAAGTTATATGATGGTTTTGAGATAGCATAGTAGTGCCTTACAAATATGCAAAATTTGATAATTCATCAGAACGCGGGTAATAATTTCGGAGAGAAAGAGTTAAGAAAACGATGCATATATAAAATAACTCTGTATTTAAAACAAATATTATTTGTATCTCTTAAATGTTCAAGTTCAAGCCATTATAAATAATATTTTAATATCAATTTATGATTTGGATCAGTTCATAGATTGACCAAAATTATTGCAAAAGGCTTTGTTTATAAAAAATTTCTGCAATATCTTTAAAAGTTAATAAACTAAAAGCCACATGTCTTAAACATGTATATTTTTTTAAAAAATTCATTTATTTATTTAAACAACTCAAAGAATAAACAAACCCTGCAAAATTAAAGACAAATTAGTTTACCAATGATAAAACAAAATATTCCTACCCTTCACGCCAGATCGATTCAAACCACAAGGCACAAATTTGATGCCATCTCCGACCACATTCTAAACAATCAACAAATCTGAAAAAATATTGAATTTATGTTGAAGAAATAACTCTGGGAAACTATTCCTACTCCTGTAAAAGTATCAAGAAGGAAGGCTTAGCCAAGTTCATTCATGCTTTGCCTGGATTGATAACATAATGTAAATGAATAAAATAGTTAAACTAAATAGAGAGAAGCTTTGATGAATTACCACTAAAATTCAAGATACTCTGTGGATTAATACTCAGTCGATGTATTCACTGTTATGTTTTAAAGGGAGGTTCGGCATGTGGGACGGAATGGTAAATGAGCCATTAAATATATTTTAAGCCAAGAGACGTTTTCATATATATTTTATAAAGATAATATATTTTATAAAGATATAACTTACGGTTCATAATCTAACTGATCATTTTTCACCCTGTCAAACTGGTCTTTTCTAATTTTCCTGTATAGTGAAAAAACATCTTTTCGCATTTTCCTGTTGAAGAAAAGTGGTATTATTTATTTTCCTTGTGCTATGATGACAATTAACATACTACACAAATATACACATGATTATTTAAAATATATATTTACACAGTTAAACCATTTAGCATGTGCTATAAATGTCAAATTTATTGTAACAGATAAATTTAGTTAAGATTTATAATTGCCATAAAATTTTCCAAAATATTGACCTTGAAAAATTTGACATCACTAACAAAGTAATAGAATCATTACTCTAAACATTTATAACTAAAATAAACTTGCCTTTCTTTATTGGTACTTTGACATGTCATTTTTAAGAAATTGGTGAGAGTGTCTCCATCCGTTCTAATAAAAAAAATAAATAAAAAACAATAATGATAGCAATATTAGAATCTTCACAAAAATCAATTTATAGAATTGCAATTTTAAAGGTGTTATTTCATCAGGTTGTACTAAATCAATGAATATTAACACATTGTTTTTCAACAAAGAATTTTAGCTAAAAATTATTTTATATTTTTCCATGTCTAACCAATCAAAAAACAAAGCATAACAATTTTATTATGATGATGATGCATACTAACAAGCGTATAACATGCATTCTGTTATAACTGCTTGAAATTTATGCTAACTATCACTTTTTTTTCCCAGTGTGTAAAATGGATGTATTATTTTTATTTTTATCCCATTTTGAAAACATAAAACAGTCCAGCCAACAAAAAAGTTAACTGAGCAAATCCACAAATTTCAGTACACCTACTAAACAATTTCTATAATCATCCAATATAAATAGCTCATTATAAATTTTTTAAAAGTAGTATACAAGGCACAAGAACTTACGCTGCAGGTGCTGTTGGGTCTTCTGTTAATTCAACTTCTTCAGTTTGGATTTCATTGAAGCATTTTTCACAATAGACATATCTGCAATAATTTGATAACACAATTTAACAATTTATGAATTAAAAGTTTAGTACCAACACATTACATGATTTTTGGACAATGATTTAAATAGACAATCCCAAGTTTTAATTGATGTTTGTTTATGTTAAAATCCCCCCCCCCCCCCCCATCAGATTTAAAAATTTGATGTGTGCACTATTTCATATAATTAATAATCAACACTAGCGAATACAACAAGCGAAAGGTGGCTGTTTTTTTAATACTGTAATATTTGATGTATGTATGGAATAGCTAGAAAATAAGTAGGGCACTTTTTCAGTGTACCCATAGTTATATTTAGCAATCCCAACACTAAATAAAAGGTAGTTTACAAAAAAACAACAACTCTTAATTGCAAACAAACAGTTGTTTTATCACGAATTCCATAAAAAGATTGTGATTTATTTTGCCGTACCGATTTTGGTAGCTATAATACATGGAATCTCTGGCAATAGTGCAAAGCTGCTTTCCATAGCAGCATAAAACTTGGGGACAGAAAACATATTTGCGCCCACAGCAATAACCCAATGACTGCATCACACTGTCAATCTCGGACTCGAATACTTCTGCCAGCTGGAATAAGTGCATGAATAACACTTTGTTAAAATAACATAAAAATTCTGGCCAAATAAATGATAAAATATGCTTAATAATCTTAATAGATTTTTTACTAAGGTGGAATGGATATTGAGGTAAATTTTGTTTAAAAATACTTTGTACAGCAATCCTTGCTCTCCCATTATTTAAGTACACTTTGTTGTAATAATTACCTTAGAAGCATATTTGTAGACACGAGATGTTTTTCTGTTATAAAGCCAAGCATTATCAAACATCAACCAGACATCATCCACATACTCCCATGGATCTTTATATAGCCCTGAATCTAGTTTCCTTCGAATGGTTGATAAATCCATTGGCTTCTTAACAATTTCAAAATAGTCCTGAGGAATACATTTTTCAAAAAAGAATTTTTAAAATTAAACATTTTAAAAGCTGAGAAACAATCAGGTCTATGGTAACTCTGACAATGATCAAGCAAACAAAATACAACCAACATCTCATGTGTCAAAGTGACTTAAATGATTTTTTTCAAAAGCAAGACCCTGAGATAAGTCAATACTTCAGACCCATGAGCCTTTTCTTTTAACAAGTGCCATTTTTTTAAAAAAATGTACTTTGACTTGGAAGTTGGTTGTATGACACTAACACAGTTACACAACTACTTGAAAAAAGAAAAACTACATACTAATCCTTTCGTTCTCCTACCAAACATCACACTCTGAGAGAAGAAAAATAAATTTGAAATATGAGTGTGACTTTTTAATTTGGGGTATAAAATTTACAAAGATATTTCCTAATAAATCAAAGGCCCTACTTCAAGTAAAATGAGCTTATTTTTTACGACAAAGAATGCAGGCAAGCACTTGCCATAATATTGTCGTGTCTTCACAATGGATGGTGTATTTAACTTACTGGAATATGAAGAATAACAGGATCAACTGGCTGCCTGAAAGGAAGAGATTCTGGGTCTTGCTTTACAAGCTTTTCTAAAGTTGGCATAAGAGCTTGCCGTAACTCATCAGGATTGAATACTGAGAAATAAAAAAAAAGTACAATTACAATACTTTAAAATAAGCAATTATTTTCAAATGATGTCAGACGATGGAGGCGATTGGGTTGACTTCCCATCAACTAAAATTACTTGACAAAACATGCATTAAAGTAACGAATTTTATAAGAATTCCAAGCCCCCCCCACCCCCCCCCCCAAGAGCTGCTGGGTCTGGTGTTGGGAAAATGGCTTGAACCCTACAATTATAAGGAAAAACATTTTTTAAAAAAAGGATTACACTTTGTAAAAAATATTTTAAAATTATAATCCCCCCCCCCCCCCCCAAATTTCACACCCCTGAACCATATTCCAACATCCTACCCCCTTTTTACACCACAGATTTGTTACATCACATTTAAATTGAGACTTAAATTTTTTTTAAATATGTTACGCATTAAATGCACTTACAGTATTTTAAGGAAATCATTTAGTGTAGATTATTTTGCATGCTCTTGAACTCACCTTTACACTTTCATATATAGGGAATTATATTACAACTTTTTTCCTGGGATTTAAATACCCAAATACATCTTAAAAAAAAAATTGAAATAAATGATTCATTAACAGATTATCTCATATGACAGTAAAGCAATGCCAACACACCTTTTTTGCACCTTGGCTTTGGTGTTGCTGCTGATGCATTATTAGATGAATCTACTGAAGCTGGTTTATCTTCACTGCTGCTTGGTTGAGAAGTTTCATCTAGAGTATCCAATTTAGGACTAGATGTATCATGTTCATCTTTTACTGAACTAATGTCTGGTTTACAGTCTGTCTCTGTTTTCACATCCATTTTTTCTTCTTTTATGTCATTTTCTGCCTTTATATCTGCAGAGGGCTCAGTTTTTACTTCTGTCTTTGGTGTTGTTGAGCTCAATATGGAAGACATGCCAGATGAGGTTGAATTAAGCAATGGAAGTATTGGTGGTGTCACCGAAGATAGGGATAACGTTGAAGGAGATGCGGCAGAAAGAAGACTAGACAAATTATGATTGTTTTCAGTTAAAAGTGAATCTTTAGCTGCACAGTCTGGTTTCATATCATCAGATCCTTGAGAGTGATCATTCTGTTTAAAAAAAAATGATGACAAATTTAAATAGAAACTATATATAATCTGTGCGATCTGATGGAATATATTTCAGAATACATAAAAGCATTAATAAAATTCATATAAAAAATGTATAGGGACTTACATATCCATTTAATTTTAATTTTTTTTTATCAAATGCTTATACTATTTTAATTATTTTCTAGGAAAAAAAAAACAACTCATTTAAAGATAAAACTGTAATTACATTTAGATCTTTGGATGATATCTGGCCATTTTGTTGCAGAGGCCGAGAAATAGAAATATGAGATGACTGATTCATAGCAGGCCCTGGAGCAGCTGGTCCAGCTAACTGGGCAAGGAAATTTTGTTGATTTGTGACATGACTTGAAACTGAATTTTCTAAAGAGTTTCCAATAGATGATGCACCCATTCGCTGGTTTCCACCAATGAGGGGGTCATTTAAGGAGGCATTTAAGTGGTTTTGAACAATAGACTGTGGCTGAGAAAAAAAAAAAAAAAATTTCATTGAAAATAAAAAGTTTATGACTTTTACAAATTTGTAAAAATACTTTGAACAAAACCAACAAATTTATTATTACATTATTCATATAAGAAGTTTCAAACTTAATACTTCAATATAACTCCAGAGCAGTTTACCCTCAAACTCTTTAAATCGTACAATATCATCAATCGTATCAATACACTGTCTTTATAGAAAGAAAAAAAAACGTGGAGTATATATAATGTATAGGTCTACACCTCAAAATCGTACATTAAGAGTAAACATGTCTTTAACTCGATCAGGATTTTAAAAATTATCTTTGACACAATAGCAACTTTACCAAGCTAAAAAGTTACACTTAAGAATGCTCTCAGATTCAGTTAAAAAAGGGAAGGCTATAAGAAAAAACTTAGCAAGGAAAGAAATTTCTCAATACGGCTTGACATTATATTAAATATGAATTTTAGTGGTTTATCATTTTAAATTAACTGTTAAAGATTTACCTGTTGACCCTGGGACTGAGAATTGAGCTGGTGATGAAGAAGTTGCTGCTGCTGAGGTGAGGGGTGGGTGGATGTGACAGTGGCAGAGGGTATCATTAGCCTATTTCCAGGTGGTTGTTGTGGCTGACTTCGTTTAACAAGAGCATCAAACTGTTGCTGGGATTCCGCTAAAGCTGCATTTATAGATATTGCAGTTGAGTTTGCAATACCAGGCATCTAAAAGAAGAAAAAAAATGAAATGTAATAGACAGCAGGAACCGTTGGCTTTAAACTAGAAAATAAAAATATAAAACATTTTTAAAATCATAATTTTCCCTACAACATAAATGCATAACTCACCTGCCCCGCCGGTGGTGGTGTCGCCCTCATATTCTGATTCCACTTCATTTGCATTGGTATGTTTTGAGTTTGTGGTTGAGGTTGCTGCATACTGTTCATATCACTGAACAGGGAATTACCAAGCTGAGCATTGTTAGGTCCATCTGAAAAAGAAGTCGAAGTTTAATCTCCAGAATGTGCCAAACTTTATTCTTACAGGATGTGTAACTTTTACTATATAAAAAATGGTGAATTCGAAGACAAAAATTTGTCTTAACTCTCAAAGTACATTATCTTAAGTGATTGACGGATTATAAATTGATTTTTTCTTCTCAACTTTTTACCTACAAAAGTTATTTTTAATATGCAAATATAATTTATTTGGATAATTTTTTTTTTATTTTATCAATATTTTAAGTGAAAATTTAGATTTTTAATTTGGAAAAATTTACTCTTCATCGTGTTTCGGTTTTTGTTCATGACGCCATTTTCATCCGCCATATTGCCAATCCTGTGAAACTTCACTGGAGGCTTGTTGCACAAAATGTGACAAATAGGCTCCATATTTATCTTCCAGAGTTTTCATTTGTTATATTTTAAATCAAAAATTGATACTAGCCCGATAAAAAAAGGAGAAGACATGAATGCTGATAATTTAATGTATTTTCGCCCGACAGAAAGTTCGATATCAGCTTAAGATTTTTTCTTTGCTATGGCCGGTCAAAACGCACTCAAATGTTTTGGAATTTGGCAAAAAACTATGTTTACATTAATATATTGTAACAGTGGACTTCATAATTATTGAAATTAAGTATTTAAGCTTATGTATAGTAATTTATTATTTCAGTATTTCTAGTGTATATTTTATTATTAAATTTTTTTCAGTCATAGTTGTTTAAACATTTCTTTTGTTTGACTTTGGATACTCTTTGAAGAGGCAATACATTTTCGGCCTATAATTTATTCTGGATTAAAAACAGCTTTTAATTTTGAATTTTTATTACTTTTATTTGAATATTGCATTTAGTTTAGTTCATTTTTTTTTAAATTTTAAGATCTAAGTCTATATGTAATGCTTATATTTAATCATAATTTCACAGCATAAGAGTGGGTGACTAGGTTAGGGTTAGCCACGGCTTTGTACAGACTGTATTAGCGTGATCTAGTTATGATTAGGACATATAGCTTTACTGGGTCAGCACTTTCAAACTACTGAAACCTGTCCAAAACAAATAAATAATCAAAAGAAGCAGGTGAGGAAAGACATACTCATTTAATAAATGAGCACTCATTTCATAAATGTATGAACAACATAACTGTAAATGAACCATTGGTCCTGGCAAATTCAATATCTAAACAGTATAAATGGTTTTATTGTTATAGTTTTTTTTTTTTTTTTTTTGCTGGCATCCGTCCGTCACAATGTGACGATGGAGTGGGCTTCGGAGGACGAAATCCAACAGCAAATCGCCACTCTCCACGCCGCTGGGTAACCCAAGGGAACATCATTGGATGATACAGCTTGGCACCAGTGACGTCGCAGGAGTTGTCGGAATGTTTCATTGTATCAATGTTATCCGCCTTTCGGAGACTCCATCTCCGGGTTTTGATTTTAGAGTTTCCTTCTCTTAGATGAGTTGCCGTCCAAGGTTAACGAGTCCCATCTACCCGTGGTGCTGGTGGTGTTTTTTTTGCTCTTGCTGGAATTGAACTCCAGACCACCAACTTGAGATTTGCTCAGTTTAGACCACTCAGCCACCCAGCACCCATTGTTATAGTAAGTTAAGCTAAATCCAACTATTGTGGCTAGTTGATTTGACTGTGATAAACTTAGTGGATAAAAGATGATAGCTTTGGAATAAATACAAATAATATGGACAACAATATGATTAGTAAAAGAAAACTGCAGGGGGAAAGACTAGTAAGAATCTTTCATTTTAATTAACTTTCTAGTGTTGGGCTTATAGTAATATTTATTTTAATCTGAAGAAAACAAAATGCAAGTCTTGAATAATTAAAAAGATCTGATAGCTTTAGTCTTTTTAGTTCATTATTAGAATTAATCAGGTGGTGACAAACTTTATTGACAATGCCCATGTTTCAGATGCAGCTATATGAATGATTATTAAGTCAGTAATAGCATGTTGTTAAAACTGCAATGGTTACAGTAAAGTTATAATGTAAAAGAAATCTTTTATTAGATTTATAAAATAGAAAATGTATGACTTAATGCAATGTGCTACCATTGTTAAATAAATGAGTTTTCTGTAAAACAGAAGTTATCAAATTTCATACCAATATATGTTTATTTGTATCCAATGTGGTTTATTTTTTAATAAAAACGAATAAAAATTATTTGTCTCCACTTATATCATTTGCGAATAATAATAGTATTTCTCTCATGAAATACTTGCCTTGTTTTCTTAATTATTTAAAAATTCAGTATATTTTTTTACAATTTATGAAGTATTTTTAAAAGTGGCATAATACAAATAATGGTAAAATTGCTTGAAATTTGTGTTGCAAATGGATGTCATTGATGGATATAATTAACATTTTAATTTAGGACTAAACACTTCTTTTTTATCCAATGGTATATCGCGTTATTACTGATCTTTTCTTCATTGAACAACTATCTAGATTGTAAAAGTACCTAATGAGGGAGAACAAAAATGGCAAAAAAAACAAGAAAAATTGACATTTTCCCCTGGTTGGTATTATTTAAATAATAATATAATGTAATTGTTGATATATATGTCATTAAATTTTTAACAGACTTCTGTAGTGTTTAATTTTGGAACAAGGATTTATTCTTTAAGGATTTTAAAATGTAAAAAAAACACACACAAAAATAACCTTTAAAATAAGCAAAAATTTTCATAACTGCATAATAGCACAAAAATAAATAAAACAATATGTGAGGACTTACTTGGCTGTCCTGGTCGAATTGGTCCCTGCATACTTGCAACTGTAGCATTTGGAGCAGTTTGTGTACCTCTCATTCTTTGGATCCTCTTTTCTTCAAGCTCCTTTTGTATCTTGTAAATTTTTTCAGCAAGCAAATGATAATATTCTCCCTATTTAAAAAAATAAAAGAGAGCTATAAAAAAAATGTTCTATCGGTCAGATTCTACAATTATTTGTTTTTTTCACTTAACTGGTTAACTACCATGAGCCGGTGGGAGCGGCTCTGCGTTTCTTCCCTTGTGACCATGAGCTGCTAGCAGCGCCAATGTTTTAGTGTATTGAATGTGGCATAGCTTTAATTCAGCCACAGCGGGTTTTTCAATCTGGTAGTTAATCAGTTAAAAGAATTAACTGGACAATCCCATTAAAGAACCATGTAAACCTAATTAATTGCTGCATAAAAATTAGTGTAGCACCAGTAGCAAACTGGCAGATTACAATTTAACTAGCTGATACAGATAAATCAAACCATTGTTTACTATGCATTATGGTGTGAAAATGAGAGTAAAAGTATGATTATGTTCGAATGATGAAACTGACAAAAACAGCTAATTCACAAATTATAATCAGCCTATAATCAGTACAACCCTAAAATTTATACATGTTATACTAATCAACTTATAAATGCAGACCTGGCTACCATGGAATGCCCAAAATATTAACAATATCTGTAGCTATCTCAAAATCCCCCAAAAACCTATCATGCAGCAAAATGTATACAATAACCACTTGCTTCACTTCTATAAAATAGATGACAGATGTTAACATACTTATATACAGTGCTTATTTGCAAAGTATTGCCTGTAATTGTCGAAGATAGGGTGTGGGGTGGGTGGAAATTAAAGATAAAGTCATCCGAGGGTGGGGGGTTGGGGTTTTGTGCAGACATGAATATAGTTTTTCCGCATTCTACACTTAATCGTAGAGCTTGTAGTAAATTAGGCTCCCCTCACCTTGCTGTTTTTTTAAAATCCTTAAGTTTTAGTAGTTACTAAATAGTAAAATAGTTGTATACTTTTATTTCAGATCTGAGATTTCTTATTTCAATCATTTTTATTAAAATTGTACATTGCTTAGTGACTGCTAAAATAGATTTCAAATGCTGATTGCTAGATCTTATATAAATGAAAATCTAATGCCGTTGTGGGGAGCAATTTTTATAGAAAGCATTTTTTTTATAATCCAGTTTTCTCCATTTCTGCACTGGCTGCGGTTCAGCAGAAGGAAATAATTATGTAAAAAAAAATTCATCAAATAGTACCGAAGCAAACAAACGAAAGGATTGACTTAAATTTTCACTAGGCGACTTTGCTAATATTACTGTTGCCTTGTCTAATTAGGTCATTACGAAAACACAAAGCAACAATTTGACCATCACAGCTATCATTACGAAAATGGGGCCATGTTAATTTATAGACTTAAACATTCCCCCACCTCCACAAGTACACAAAATCTCCTACATCAACACCACCCCATTCCTCTCTCGAGAGAAAGGCAATATAATCTAGATGGCCCCCAACCAATTATATTTCTTGATCCATTCACCACTGGATGCAGAATTCCAGTTAAATAACAACTGAAAATGTACTTTTTAATATTTTGTAAGTATGTAATAACTCTATCTTAGTCTTGAAACTATACCACCTCAAAACATCACTTACATTCCAACTCATAGTAACATATAACTTTAAGTTAGGCAATTCTATGAAAACAAAGTTATCATCCTGTTAAATTTGTTTTCATGTACTTTATAATTTCTCTCTATTATAACAGGAATATGCGAGTAGGACTCAACAGCTTAATAGAAGTATAAAAATAATGTACAAAATTTTTTGAATTCTTACTCTATTGTTAGCAGTTTCATACATGTCTCCTTCTACTTTTCGAGCATAAGCAACAAGATTCTTCATTCTACTGTCACGAAGAGCTGCTGGGTCTGGTGTTGGGAAAATGGCTTGAACCCTACAATTATAAGGAAAAACATTTTTTAAAAAAAGGATTACACTTTGTAAAAAATATTTTAAAATTATAATCCCCCCCCCCCCCCCCAAAAAAACATTTTTTAAAAAAAGGATAACACTTTGTAAAAAATATTTTAAAATTATAATCCCCCCCCCCCCCACAACATGACATTAATAAAAAAAATCATGTCACTTAATAAACACTGTTAATTTTGCTTAAATTTATTGGCACACAAATCAGTACATTTTATGTTAATTATTACATGTTGTATGTAGCCTTTAGATAACAAAGATTTTTTTAAAATATATAGAATTTTCAGGAAGGAACACATTTACTGCAAACCATACGTCACATTTGGTTTTTAAGATTGTCTTAGGATTACCAGTAGCTTAACCCTCGAACTGTGGTCGGCCGATATTCTCATTCTGTGCTGCGGCGGCCGATAAAAAACACGGGCCGATAGGAACTTCCAATCCAATATTTAACCGAAATCGTAGCCATTTCCTTTTATTAATAATTAAATCAACTTCCGGGTAAGCTGTTTCTTGATAACTTAACAATAAGTGCATTTTAATCGGAAATTTATATTGCTGTTTTTTTTAAAGCAAAAATAGCGGAAGCTTTGGCCGGGCCTTCAGCGTGAGAACTAATATAAATATTTTTTAAATCTTTTTAGGAGAGGATTTAAGTGATACTGATGATGATTTTAACATTCCCCATGAATTTTATATTGCTGTTTTTTTTAAAGCAAAAATAGCGGAAGCTTTGGCCGGGCCTTCAGCGTGAGAACTAATATAAATATTTTTAAAATCTTTTTAGGAGAGGATTTAAGTGATACTGATGATGATTTTAACATTCCCCATGATTTCTCACTTCAGATTCTTCTTTCGTGAATCTGATACTAGTCTTAGTGATACTGAAGTAAGCCTACTGAAGCCTCTGTTTTACTTTGAGCCAGGCCTGGAGGTTGGGCAAGGACTGACTGAATTTTAGTCACAGAAGCTACAGATTATAGATCAGAACTAATAAATTTTATAGTTTAACAACCCAAATCGGTTTCACAGTTCCTTTTTAAATGTTTACTAGTCAATAATAACTATTTTGACTGAGATTTTGTATTTTTTTTACTTGGTTTAGCAGTGGTCCCAGTTTCTTATATAAATGACCAAAAATTATTAAAATTGCTTTCAGATGTGTATTGGCAATTAAAACCTTAGCGAACTATACATTTTCTGATAGATAAATAAATTGGTTACAACATTTAGATTTGTGTTTTAAGTGTATCTATAAAAATTAATGATGTCATGAGCACTTGAAAGCAAGACATTATGTCAATTTTTATTTTCTTGAGAACTCCAAGGCCAAGGACACTGCCCAAAATTCTTTTTACGAGGTGGGCAATATGGCCAACTTTATTCCCATCCATTTACCTTTCTAAAAATATATACTTATTGGGGTCTTGTATCAATATTTCTATGTCATTTAATGTAATTTCAAAAGGCACTCAAAAAGCTCTGAAAAGCTCCACACCACAGTTCGAGGGTTAATTTAATTATGAAAGATATCCTTATGTAAAGATGACACAAAAATATGAAAGATAGTCTAAGCCTAATGCAAAGATGATATTTGATTTTTTTCAAGGTCGACTTTACACACAATTACTATATATGCATGCATACAATTACCGTGTAGAAATTGTGTAAAAATTATTTTCTATATTTAAATGACAACCCATGACACTCTTTTAGTACTCGATTCCTTGAAATATGTTGTATATATATATATAATTAAAAATGGGGCCTGAGGGTAGTAGTTACATAGTACTGCTACATAGTAAGCATACAAAAATTAGTTGAAATGTCTTTATCCCAAATTTCATAACTGCACATATCAAAAGAAGCATGAGAAACAAGCTGAGTTATATTTTCCCTACAAAAAAGTTATTGTCATAATGACCAATAAAAAGTCAATTTCATATAATGGTCTGCATAATTGTACATGCTATAATCTGCATCTTATCCCTACTTAAGCTACAAATGCTGAATCATTTTTTTTACAAATGCTAAAAGATTTTTGGCGGGAGAGACATTTTAAAGGAAAATTATTTTAAATTAAGTGAAGACTTAACCCATATTTTTCTGTTTTTTAATGCAAGAAAAAAAGAGGTAAAACATGATCTCATAAGGTACTTTTGTAATTTGTGTGTACCATGTTTCTTTCTTTTTTTTTTTTCGTTATAAAGATAACATAGAAAATTGATGGATAATCTTAAGGATTGATTTTTTATTAACTACAACTGGAAGACCTGTAACTTTCATTTTTCATATTATATTCTATGGCCCATGTCAAAGTTGTAACAAAAAATACTGGAAGCTTGGTATATATATTATATATATATATATATATATATAAATAAAATATATATATAAATAAAATATATATTTATATTTGCTTGCTATTTACTAGCATTTTAAAAATATCTTTTAATAATTTATGCCTATACAATTTTTAGGGTATGAACTTTTTTTTTGCCAAAAACTCTCGGCACACAAAACATTCAAATTTGGTTAGCTAACAGATTAATTGATAATTGATACTTACAATTTGTGAACTAAATGATTTCTCAGGTCTTGAGTGACTTGCGCATGCCAATCCTTTCTGTTACTGGCTGGTATAGATTTAACAATATCTGGAGCATTTCCCATAGCCGCAGCTTGTGCCGTTGAAGTGGCTAGTTGACTTCCACTTTGGGGTTGAATAGTTTGTGGTACTTGAGTGACTGGTATGTTACCCAAAAGATTACTCATATGACTGCTAGGAGTCTGATTTGGTATCACTTTTGGCACTTGCTGATTTGGCAGGTTTGGTTTGTTCATTTGCCCTTTAAAAGAAATTGAAACAGTGAAATACATTAAATATTGGGTAAGGTATGTATTTAATTGCTTGTTTTAAATAGTCGATTGCTGTTGTGAGCAATAAATTTTGCTTTTACCATGCGACCACATTTATTATCTTAATTCATATTTCTAGTATATGAAAACTATAATATAGCTGTGTGATGGAAAATTTTGAACAAGGTATGTTGAACTCTCGAACTTAAGACAAAAACAAGTAAAAACAAAGAAATCTAAATGTATTAAAAACTCAAGTGTCATACAAATTTCAAAATAAATAGTACTGTAAAAATGAAAGCTTTGGATCGCCTTACAAAAACTGGCTAACTTTTGCCAATCATGGTCTTGAGCATTCTATGGTAATAGCTAAGTATTAATATTTTATTTTTGTCCTTAACACTGTATCCACATGTCGCCGAAGACTATCACCAGATTTTAACCCTAAAATCCACTCATAGCAACAAGAAAAATGCATGAATAATTTCCACTTCATTAACATTCTTTCAAACTAGATTATCACAACTTTTAATTCATATGGCTTGTTTTAAGTTAAATTTTTATGAAAAGTTAAGAATGTTAAGTTTCTTTGGGTTTTTTTTTGTTTTTTATATTGATCAATAGCAATTTCTTAAAACATGGACTCAGATCATCAGACCTGTTTACTCTTACGATAATGGTTTACAATGTATAATTTTGAGATGAGTTTACGAGTGAATGCCGAGAACTGTCAGAACTATGATTTTATGAGACCAGGTAAAAAAATATATTCCAGTGGTTTTTGCGATATAAAAAAATTAAATAAATAAATAAAACATTTTCGGTAGTTAGTAATAGCTCCTTTATACACCCGGCTGTGAATAAACATTATTAGAATACAAAAACAATATGTTAACTGAAAATAAAATCAGCCTCCAAACTTTAAATATTGTGGCCCATCCGATTTCTCACTATTGAACTTATTTTTTCATTTAATTAGAGATTACTTCTATCATTTTTGGCATCAATCCACATTTTAAATACATACATGCATCACTTTTTGTGATGGTAAGTGCCATTTTGGTGCATTTGCCCCCCCCCCCCCCCCTTTTTTTTTTTTTTTTTTTGATTTTCCCCCCCCCCCCCCCCTTTTTTTTTCTTTACAGATTTAAAGACGAAATTAAAAAGCAATTAAAACTACTATTTAGTAACTCCTAAAAACAAAAAAAAAAAGAAAAGAAAAAAAGGGATTTATTTAAAATAGCTACGTAGAAGGAACCTAATTTCCCAAAAGCATCAAGTGTAGGATGATGCAAAACTATATTAAGGTATATGCATGAAAGTGAATTCCCACATTTTAAATTTGTAAGAAAATTCTGGGAAGGAAGCTCAACTTCCACTCCCCCAACATGTCTTTCTTTATCAAAGTGGCACCTTTTTATTTGCAATAAACATAAACTTTATCCATCTTCTTTGAAAAGTAACTTTTATTAGACATGTGATGCAAACAGTAATTGTATACCATTATACTGTAAGTTACTTTATTTTCAAGTACAATCTTGAGATGGTAAAGCAATATTCTGAGACTATAATTGTACTATTTTGGAAACTCCATTATAACCTGGTCTGGATCATGACTAATTGTGCTAACTGTAGAAGTATAGATTCTTGTATTCAAATTAACAAGTAAATAAATGTCACCCATCTTTACACAGTTTTTGAGTTGACCATTTACCGGTATCATCCTTTTCCCCCCTGCCTAACAAAAAAGTAACATGTTTTCTTACTCAATGACTATCAGGTATGTGGATAAAGTTTGGAATTATTTTCTTTAATTTCTGCCTAAATTATTTAACCCTTTCTGACGCAATTGAGTGTAATACACCAGCAGACAGACTGTCATTGCTGATATCTCGAGTCTCCTTTTAATAATCTTTCTCATACTCTATTTAATCCACAAGATAGATGCAATGAACACCTTGGTGGATGCAATTGTATGAAGATTGCGAAAGTGACTTATTTTTTGGGGCCTAATCTTTTTTTTCTACAGTCCCTAGCAACTTGGTGTATCACACCCATGCATTATTTAATAGAAGAAAAAAACCATCTAAACTGACTTGTGAACATTAATTTTTGGTTGTTGTTTGTAGATTATTTGAGTCTGTGTAATCCATAAATAGATTTAAAATTTTGACAATAAATAAATATTCTGAATGCAACAATGATAACATGTATTCAACTTGACAAACCATTTCAAAACGTAACAGCCACATCATGTACACATGAAAAATAGGGGCTTTGCAGTTCAGCTTCCACAGTTTATACATAAAAGAACAGAATGTTTCCATGCAAATGTCTAGTAAACTTGCTTAGTTAAAGTGGTTTGGGGGCCTGTTTGAAGTGCTTGTAAAGATTTTAAAACACTTGCGATGTTCTGCCTTACAATGTCTTGATGAATCGGGATGGATCAACTCTACTTGGGGAAGGATGAGAAAACGTGCAACGCCAATACTGACTGCTGTCTCCACGAGACTGTGAGTTGATCTGACATTTATATTGAAATGCCTCTCTTGCTGCAATCACAGTCTCTTGGGATATTCCAACATTTCTCTTTGCTGGCAGGGAATTTTTATTCCATATTTGCCGGGCTTGCTTGGCATAAATTGAATAAATCTGCACCCACCTCTGAAACCAACTAGCTGTTCACCTACTGTGATGTTCTTTTCAAGGAACATAATACCTGGCCAAATACTCAGGAATGCTTCGGATGCATCTCTTATGGGATCAAAGATTTCATGAGCCAGAAAGTATTGGTCTAGCATTCTTGTCAAAGCAATATGAATAAGAAGTTTTCTTAATCTCTTCATTGAAAATGCTGCCCTAAAAAGAGGATTTTCAACACCATGGATGAATTAAAATTCCACTGAAATGCTATTCGGGTGAAGAGTGCCAGTGTGTAGTAGGCAGCCAAAGAAGCTTTCATTTAAAACGCATCATTCCTTTGCAATTTGTCTCCTTTTACTTTCTCCCCTTCCCTGTTGGTGCAGTCAACTATTGTTTGTATCAATTTTTTCATTAATGTACAGAAGAAATGCTTCAGTGGGAGAAGCTACACAATCTGTGAAGGAAGTTTGGTTTCAAACCAACTAAATCATGCCACATTGTAAAAATAAAATAACAAAGAGAGTTTACTTTGATAGAGAGGTATTACAGAACAACAATCATCATTAGCCAGCCATTGCGTTACCTGTCATGCGCAGACAATATAGTGCTACTTGGCAGATATGGAAATGACATAATAATAGCATTCTAGGAACTTTAAAATGCCTTAGTCAAAGCTGGTCTTGATGTAAATGAAGCTAAGACAAAATATATGATAATGTCACAAAACACCCACACTGATGACATCAATATAAAAAACCCACAAATTTGAGAGAGTGGCTTTTACCTAGTGGTGACCCCAAAAGAGCACAATGAAATAATGTCGGAGGTGAAAGAAAGGATAATAGTAGGCAACCAATTCTATTTCAGCCTAAAAAAGCTATTGGGAAGCAAAAACCTCTCAAAGGGAACAAAGAAGACAATATACATCACTATCATAAGACCAGTAGTAAATTACGATAGTGAGACTTAGTACCTTACTAGAAAACAGAAAAGCAGAGAACCTGCTCAATAAATGGGAGAGGAAAATCCTCAGGAAAATATATGGCCCAGTGATAGACAATGATGTCTAGAGAATCGGTAAAAACCAAAAGCTATAACAATTATTGTACAAAGACCCATCCATAGTCGAAACTATAAAAAAAAAAAAGCAGAGCAGGACATATTGAAAGGATGCCGGATTGAAGAGCAGTAAATAGTGATATACAGGGCGAAGCCTAGGGGCAGATGGCTAACCGGTCGACCAAAAATGAGATGGATTGATGATGTAGAGAAGGATTTAAACCAGTTGGGAGGAGGCGAAAAGCCATGGATCGATCCGAATGGAAGGATGTGGTGAAGTAGGCCAGGGTGCTAAGTGGGCTGTAGTGCCAATGATGATGATTTACTGTGATATAAGAATATTGGTGTAACCCACACAGTTGCCAGGAATCTACATAAACACTTTTCCCTATTATAATAAATGTACGGGTGTGCTACACCCAGTCACTAAGGCAGAGGCGTAGCGAGGGGGTGGCAGGGCGCCAGCTAATTAGGGGCGCCGAAATGTTCTTTGATATTATTTTATTGATGAAAATAATGGGTTTGAGAGTTGAAAAAAAGAAAAAGGGGCACTTTAAAATGAATCTTGTCCCCGGGTGCCAAACACCCTCGCTACGCCTCTGCACTAAGGACAGGGTATACAATATGTTGCGACGGAAAGGGTTAAACAATGTTATTTACTGTAACAAATTGCTAGATTATAAAACTAAGCGTCACACATTCATTTTTTATTTTGTTGCTCAAATATCTTATCTCAAACCACAATTAACATCACAAAATTGCTATACACCGTATATACTCGCATGTAAGCCTACATCGCATATAAGCAGACCCCCTACTACTGCTTTAAAATGGCCAGTTTTTTCAAAAAAATCCACATATAAGCCGACCATACAATTGTCTAATTTTACTCCATATTTTTGGTTCATAGAAATTTGTTACTGTAAAGATGTAAAATGCTTACTTTTATGTTACATACCAGTTTGTTTACCTTTTGGAATGACACAAAAAAGTGTTCTGCTCTTTCCACATCGTTTGCTATAATAATATCTGAACTTCCGCTCATAAGTTGTTCATTACTAATGATTAACGAAGTTATATATTTAGACAAAATTATACATTTTGAAATGAATAAAGATGAAAATTCTTTTGTTGTGTTTTATTTATTCACAAAAAACTATCACATTTCTGTTTATAATTTACCGTAGCGTTCTTACAAATAATTAGAAACCTTCAAAATTATTGTCACTATCATCGTCAGACTCCCTAAACAGCTTTCTCCATTCCTCTTCTGTGTACTGAACATTTACCTCATCCCACAGTACCTCATCTGCATCCTCTGGTTCTGCATCATCTTCGCTGTCTGAGGCTGTTTCCTGAGTCTCCTACTGCCACAGGTAGTCGTCTTCAGTGCCATCTAATTTGTTGCTGATGCTGCATTTCAGAAATGACTTTTGTTCCATTTCTGCAGGAATCTCATCCCATGCTGTCTTCACCCACAACACAACTGTAGGCAAGGAAGGTCGCTTGAAATTGCCTTTAGCAGTAAACTTAGCTTTGCCTTCCGCCACCCATAGTTTCCACAGGTTTCTAATCTTTGTCTTGAATGGCTTGTTTAGGCCAACATCCAGAGGTTGCAGCATGCCAGTCAAGCCTCCGGGTATGACCGCTTGACTTGTCTTTTCCTTATTGAGCTTCCTCTTTACCTTCTCTATTAGATGGGCCTTGAATTGGTCCCAGACTAGCAGAGAAGGTTTCTTCAACTGGCCTCTGTTTCTCCTCACCCACACTTGATCGAGCCATTTCTTCACTCCTTCTTCATCCATCCATCCTTTTGGGTGTTGATGGATGATCACACCACTGGGGAATTGATCCTTTGGGGGAGTCTTTCTCTTGAATATTACCATTGGAGGTAATTTTCCCCAATCTGCAGTACAGGCCAATACCTCAGTGAAACGAGTCTTCTCATGCCCAGTCGTCTTGATCAGCACATTTTGTTCACCCTTTTTATTGAGTGTAACTGGGCATGTCAAAGCACATGGGTGTCTCATCCATGTTGCCAATTCTCCAGAGAAGGAAGTCACCAGCCTTTCTTTCATCAATAACATACTTTTTGAAAATCCAAAAGTTTATGTTCATATTGTGATGGCAATTTTTGTACAATTTTCGTTCTCTGTCTCAAACGTATAGTGTCTGTTCAGAAAATGTGTACACCAACATGTGGAAGCAGTGAACCCTTCATATTGTGCAATCTTGAGGGCTTGCAAACGAACACCTAGCTGAGACATTCCATATCTCTTTTGTCTTTGGGCTTCAAACTACTCCAAGATCTCCCTCTCCATTTCTGGGTACTGTCAATGTTTTGGTCCCCAGTTCGCACGTTCGGCCTTAGGTGCAATATCCAGTGATGTATCCTTTTTCCATCGTCTGACATTGCTTTCATCTACACCAAACTTTCTTGCTGCCTCCAGGTTGCTCGTTTCTTCAGTGGCCTTTATCACTTTTAGCTAGAAGTCAGCAGTATGGGACAAACGTTTTCTTTTTTTCCAGGCATGGTGTAATGCACAAATAATTTTACAACTAAAATTATCAAAGTTCAGCCCACTTTTAAATTCTGTGGCTGCGTGCTCACGCCTGCCCCATTGGTTTCCCGTTGCTTTGCGATTCCCCTATAAGCCACGCGACCTTGTCCCCCTTCCCACGCGCTGCGCTGCCTACCAACTGGCTGCCTCTGTTTCCCCTCTTCGTGCCTATGCATGTGATTTAAGGAGATTCCCTTACAACCGCCTTCGTTTGAGCGTGTTATTTCTAAGAAATCAGACTGTGTACCGATGACGTCTGCTTCACCGCTAGCTCTATCTCAATTACGGCACGCCACTGGTGCACACACAACCACAAGGCCGTGTCACTCTCACTTTATTCTATGCATTTGCGTATAAGAGTATTAGTTAGGAAACCATAAATATAGAAACATTTTCTGTTTTTTAAAGTATTTTTTCTTAATTTTATCCCATTTTTGACTTTGAAAATGAATTCTCCATGGTAATATTCACACTCAGTATAATTATCAGCTATGCATACATTAAATTCTTTGAAGTGTCACTTCTGTATATATATATATTAGTACTCTGCACACACAACCAAATAAAGTGTCAGATAACGATGAAAATGTGTGGCTGGAAAATTGGCATTAGTGTCTGTCCTTATTTTGTTTTATGCGCATATAAGCCGACCCCCTGATTTCAGTATTGTATTTTATAGTTCTAAATTCGGCTCATAAGCGAGTATATACTGTAGTTTCAATTTACCCCTGAAAAACAGAGCAAGTAATGCAATAAATGTCAATGGAATTTATAAATTATTATCCCTGAAAAGACAGCCATAATCAGAACTGTTTACCCCAAACTCCTAAAATCGTACAATATCGTCTCAAATCATAGAAGAAAGTATCTTGATAGTAAATAAATAAAAATACAGTATATATAATATATAATTTATACAAAAGCTACTTGTATAGCGTGTTCAGTGGAATTGAGTTAAGCTGGCGGTAAAAAATGGAACTGAAGGTAAACAGTAGATGACTGACGTTAATTGCAAACTGCAGTCACTTTTGCAGACATGTATCGGCTATAGATATCAATAAATATACAGAAGCCAGAATGATCACTAAATAATGGGCCCTTAATACAAAGAAGAAATAATTATGTGAACCTGCAGATCACATTATCCCAGTCTGTCACTTGTAAAAGTAAAGTTACTGGTGAAATTTAATGTGGTTCAAACTCGAAGTCAGATAGGCATAAAATGTATTAAAATAAGAATTAATTACCTGGTAAAAAATTGGGAGTCATTAAAAAAAAACAACCTACCAAGTAACGTGAGATTTTATATCCACAAGCTGTAAATGGGTGAAAGGAAGAATGGCTATTTAAAATCGTACAGCTGTTTTGTGCATTTTTTAAGTTTCAAAGGCCCCCTCAGATCCTATGAAATCTAATATTGCTGCGTGTTAACAGTTAAGAATGAATTCTTTAGTTTTCTCCGTTTCCATAGTCTCCGCGGTCAGCCATAAGAAATAATTACTTCATAAAATTAGGTCATACAAAGCAAAGAAACGCAAGGAGGAGCCGAGCCATCTATATAGCATGTACCAGTATGCATTAAAGTCAAATTATCTAACCCTCTCCCCCTGCGTGCTTACTTTCCCCCAGCTTTGTTTTTTTTTGGGGGGGGGGGGGGGGTGGTGTGTTGTGGTGTCAATCCACCAGAATGCACCTACATTTATACATAAATTCTACACCAGAATGCACCTACATTTATACGTAAATTCTACAACAATTATGCTCACAGTCTCTCATAGAGCCAACTGAAAATCTGTGAAATCCATGAATTCTAATTATGCCTATTATTATTATTATTATTATTATTAAGGCTATAAAATATCACAACAATGTTTTGCAGTTATTGTATACTCGTGTACAAATGCTTTGTGTTTTCATAAAGTGATCGCTGTAGTAGTGATACACTATAGTCTAATAATACGTCATTCCGCGCTAGTGACGAATTTATTTCGCTCTGCAGAACCAACCTTCTCCCACCCTCATTAATGGGAAAAAATTGTGCCGTGGCCTATCGAATCCATTAACATAGTATCGCCTAATAACAACCGCAAGCTTTACACAAAAAAAAAAAGGGGGGGGGGGGGGGGGGGGCGCGCGTTTAGTAGGAGTAGTGATACCACACTGTTGTATTAAAATCGTTTTCTTCATTTCCACAATCAGTCAAAATAATTATGTAACAAAACTACGTCATACGCTTGGTAGCAGTCAAAGGGAATGGTGAGTGAAGTTGTCTAGTCTAAATATTCACAAAGCAACAATAAGACAATCATCACCATCAATACGATATGTTGCGATATTTTATATCCTTTGACACTCCCACCAATCCCCCATGCGTCTCATATGCCATAAATCTCCTTAATCAACAACCCCAAAAGACATCTAAAAATTGCACATTGTACGCCAAAATTGTAAGAGTAAACAGGTCTGCATTATTAATAATAACATTTCAATGTCATACTATGTAAAACACGAAAGAACTGATATAATGTTAGGTATATTATCAAGATTCTTGAAATCCAAAGTTTAATAGGAGATAGATGATTTAAAATGTTGCAGTTATGACACGAGGTTGAATCAAACTGAGGCTAAGGGTACACCACTAAGGAAAAAGATCTATGAAAATTAGCAAGTAATAAGAATATCAAAGGTTCAAATGGGGCAGTCAATAAGATGTTTAGATCTTAAAACAATTCCCTGTTAAACAAGTGGCCTTAGTTGAATGTATGAATCGGCTTTGGGACATTTTAGAGGACAAAAAACTTTTAACCACTCTAAACCACACTGAATAAATCTCAACAAGAAATACTTTGTAAGTGGTGAATTTTAGAAGCAAACTGATCCGCAACCAAGTTTATAGAAACAAAGTGAGCCCTTACTGTGAATCATTTTTTTTTTAAATTTACCACATCTAAAAGTCATGTAGAGGCAAATGAGAGCATATTTAAATTTGAGGACACTAATTATAATTGAAAAGTTGTAGTTTACCTTTTTTTGCAAGTAAACCCCACAGAAAACCCTTTTTGACCTATTTGGAGTTTGGAAACCTGGGAATATAGGGCTGGCTAGTTCCTGTTTGAATTACATAATTCCCTGGGATTATCAGGGCACCGAAATTCAAAACACAAAAATTTGCAGCATAGGCATTATTTAATATTCATGCACTTATGACCTGAAGTTATTTTGTGACATTCCGTACAGTTATTCAATTTTTGTTACCCCACAGCAATAAAGATTTAGAAAAATTCTTTTCTTAAAAAAATATATATATATATTTTTAGCAAAAAGCTTAGTGGCAACTCTGTCACATATACTGTACATTGTAAAAATTGTAAAATGATCACACCCACATTCACTTATCTGATAAGATAAGGGGTCTCCAACCTTTTTTGAGTAAGGAGCCATGTTTTAAATAATCTCACTAAAGTATTTTGGCAGCCGCATGCCAAAATTAATAATAAAAAAGATGCAAATATTCCTGGAGCCACATGTTGACAACCACCCAGGTAGGGGGAACTAAATGTCTTAACTTTCTAAAACAGAGATCCACAACTGGTGTGCGGAGGCTAAATTCCTCCATGACGATGCAAATCACACAAAGAAGATATACATTTTTCAAAACAAAAGGGATTTTCTTCAATTTCAAACAAAATGGCTTTGCTTCATTTTCAACAAAACATGCAGAAATATCTAAATTATTTTTTAACTTAAATCTTTTAATCTGTGTGCAGTTAGTAAATATATTTTCCTTTTATTGTTTGCTCTTTTTTTTATTAGGACTAAAATGGGAAAAAAACTACTTTAAAAAGGGTGTAAGTGTGCAGTGAGTGAAAACAGTTTGCGGAGAAGTGCTCTAAAATAAATTAACTCATTAAATTTATTATAAAAATGATCATTAATTAAAATCATAAATTTTTATTTACCATCATTTGACATAGAATTCATCTGTGGGTGAGTATGCTGGACTGTATTATGTGTTGCTGTTGACTGGTTATATTGTAACCCTAAAGACTCAAAAGCACGCTTCATTGTAGCTGGATCTGTTACACTTGATGGTTGAGCATTAGGTGCTGACATTGGTGAGTTTTGATTGACGTTTTGCCCTGTAGTATTTCGCTTGTCTGCTATTTTAAGCGGCAAGCAGACAGGGCAATCCACTCGGGTACAATTTTTCCAATGAGTTATAATTTGACGAGATGAAGCACAATGGGCCACTGAAATATACAATTAAGTATTTTATAGTTTAAGATTATTTTTGTACTAACTTAACTCCTACATCAATAGATGACTCAAGTGTTTGAAATTTCATACAAAAAAGTATTGACTGATCTGAAAGAGAGAGGGTCAGGAGTGAACCTAGAATCAATGCACCAACCTTGTTTTTAAGTAAATTAAAATATAACGAGTTGTTAATGAGCTTTTGACAAGGTATAATAATAATAAAAAATTAACTTTAATTAAAAAAAGGAAAAATTAAAATGACAAACAGTAAATGTCAAACATATATTCATATTGCTAATACTTGAGATTATTTTTTGTCCACCCAATTAAATAATTGTACTTCAAAATAATAGCCATTGAAGCTAATCCCAATGGAAAGAAAAAAAAAATAGCCATTGAAGCTAATCCCGATAGATAGAAAAAATTAACTTTTTAATGGAAAATTATGGCAGATGCATTTAAAATAAATCCTCACCTTCACAAGATTTTCCTTTGTTGCATGTGGTCATATGATTGAGTACATTTTTCATAGTACGACAGTAAGGGAGTTTGCAGTCCTGATCACCGTTTGCCTGCTCCCTACGCTGACATTTGTGAGCATGCAACAGTAAAACTAACTGCTGTTGAATAAGCTTGCTTTTATCAGGATCAGCAGAAGTCTGTCGAGTACCTGTTGTTCCACTTCCAGTTGGCTGTCCGGGCTGTTGAAAATTTCATATAAAACAAAGAGTAACATCTTCCTTCTTGTATCAATGAGTTTTTATCAAAATAAAGTAATTTGGCATAAAAAATGTAAATCAAAAGTATACCATTTATTTTAAACTAAGACCTTGCAAATTTGTTATACATATATAAAAATAAGTACAGTGACCTTAAATATTCATCCATGTGGATATATTACTTATATATTATGTACAGTATTTTCATAGAAATTTTTGTTTGATATTCGCTTCAAAATTCAACTTGCCTAGTAAATCATCAGCCTCTGGCGGTGATTCAAAGTACTACTTATTTCTTTTTTATATTTACAAGTTTTTGCAGCTTTTTTAAAAAAAGAAATATGTGACAAATTCTGTTCTGAGACTAGTGTTTTTTTTGTTTTTTTTTTTGTTTGTTTTTTTTGTTGTTTTTTTTGTATTTAATGCTACATTTTATTTGGACCTTGGATACACGAGGAACACACATTTACCACTTGTTTCTTTTTTGTTTTTTTTGTTTCTTAAATGAAGGTAAATTACTAGTTAAAATTTCATTTACCTCCTTAAATAGGACTAGAGTATATTTAAGGTATGACATTTAAATCTCTGTCATACCAATAAAGCATTAATTACCATTGGTCAATCTATTATTAAGATGTATTAGCATTGATTTCTGGAATTGACTTTTGAAATATTTAAAAAATCAGAACAGATAGTTAAAATTCAGGTCTGGAAAGGTACTAAACCCTTTTAATCAATAACTATGTAAAAAAAAAATTTATATTTATCGTTTTACATTCAGTTAGCAGCCCAGGATGAATTAATGATGAAAATTGAGGGTCCGCTGCATATATTAATAAATTTTAATACATCAATAAAAAAAATTTCTTTACAAATTTTAAGTTTGAAATTTGAGGAAACAAATTTAACATACCCTAACCATCTGTCCAGGATTTTGTGGCATTCCCATATTAGGATGTCCAGGAATTACTTGATGTCCTTGCATTTGGTTCATGGCAGGATTAGGCATCATTCCTGTCTGTGGCATTGGCATAGAAGTTGAAGCATTCACATTATTTGGCATGCCGCGCATCTGTCCCATACTACCAGGAAAGCTATTTGGCCCATTCATCATTGGATTTTGCATTTGCTGACCCATGTTAAGACTACCTACACTTCCAATCATTTGTTGTGTTCCCATTGTTGGTTTCATTCCCATAGTGTTTGTTACACCGCCCATCATTCCACTGTTGGTGCCAGACAAGGTAAAATTGGCACTACTGACAAGATCATTTATTCCCATATGAGACGATGTAGCAACTTTGTTTGTATTGGCCATGTTAGCAACTAAATTATTAGTAAGTGTATTCTTCCCCATTCCCATATTCATCATGCCACCCATTCCTGGGCTTCTACTTGTCTGCACACCACCAATACTGTTAAGAGACATCGGCATTGATGCCTGGGAGTTTGGTGTTGATCTTGAAAGTAACTGAGATAAGGAGCCCCCCATCCCCGAGTCTTGGTTACTTTGAGATTGTTGGACATCATTTGACGTTCCCTGGATTCCATCAAGATCATCTGGTAGTTCGTTGACTATGCCATCAAAGTTAAGATTACCAAAGTTGAATTCTGGAGAGAAAAAAAATACAAATATTATATACTCTAAAACTGAGGGAGGATTCATACATATCATTAAGGCGGGTGGGAAAAATTTTTTGTGCAGAGGGTATTGAGCTGCTGCATAAGAATACTTTTAAAGACTTTTAAGACTACTTTTAAAGTTATAGAAAATGGACTTTAAAAATTTACTCATTTTTGCAATTCAGCAGAATTATTATTTGCTGTACAGTGATTATTATTAGTTTGATGATTTTACACTGTTTTATTAATTTTCAAAGGCATTTTTAGGCATAATCGTAATAGCTTTAACATTTTATGAAAACATTAATTGAGTACCCTGAAGGTATTGCAAATCATACTGAGGCTAATGGTAGTTATGGACGCCACGAAGTTCAGGTTAGGCATAGACAATAGGGGTGATTTAGGGTTCGGGTTAGGCATAGGGATCAATTTAGGGTTCAGGTTAGGCATAGGTGTCAACCAAGAAGGAGGCCATTGAGAAAAAAGTGGCATCCATACCCACCATTTACACATACTGATATTTTTCCCCTTGGCTGCTAACCCCCGATTTTTAACAGCATCGCTATTTAAAATCTCTTTAAGTTTATTGAGATAGGTCTTAAAATCATATGAACTTATTAAGCTAATGGGCCCAACTATTATTCCTCAGTAATTGAGAGTATTATAAAACTCATACTAATTAAATATTGAAAACAAGTAAAGCGATGTGAATGCTTTTCAAATAAAATAATAGCATATAGGAAGCTATTATATAAGTTTGTAACATGATATGCTTACCACACTACACACACCCTTTATTAATGTTTTTACTGGAGACAAGTTTAAATTAGAAGCAAATTAAATAATCTTGACTAGGCCTAACCAAAAAATTCAAAAAAACAAGACCTAGTACTAGTATTAGGTCATGCAACTAAGAGATGCCAATTAATTATCAATTCTATGTGGTTCTGGCTCTACAATAAAGAAATGTTAAGGTCCTAACTTGTCTTACTTATTTGAATAAGCTAGGCTAAAGAAAAGAAATTAAGAACAGAAAAGCAGGTTTTTGTGACTGTTAATCTGTTAAGTAACTTTAAATAAGTGTCAGCACTCAGCAAGCTTAGTGAGTTAGTCTCAATAAACTTATAATTTTTATAACCAAAATAATATTATGTAAGAATGTTAGATAAAATTAGAATTTTTTAAATCATGATCACTTTAATATTTTAAATGACAAATTTAAATATGCAATAATAAAGCTAGGCAAAGTTCTTTTTTTCATTTGGACAGCCTTTTACAGGGTCTGCATAATCAATGTCTAATAATTATTGGACATGAGATTACCATTTCTGTGAGTAAATAGCGAGATAATTAAAATAAATAGACAGTATTATGACATATTTATAATCACCTAAAATTAAAACTCACCATTATTATCGCTGGGTGTATTGAGAGATGGTGATCCGATTCTGGGTTTCTTGTTGGCCGGAGGGCCAAGTTGGTGGTCGGCCATGTTTACATCAACACAGCACTAAGATTTCAAGAACCGTAATATATCGTTTCATCCATAGCATTAAATAGTTAAATATTTGGTCGATAAAATGTCCAGAGAAGCACTGTCTAACATAATTTGAAAATGTGCACGTAAAATAATGATAAAGCATAAATTTTATTTTTGCAACATGATGACGGATACCGCCGACTTCTCGTCGACCTCCGACAATCGCCAGCCGCTGCCACAAAGCGCCACGGCAGTGACAATTTTAGTGAAACACAAATTGTCCAACTTTTTATGGGAAATATCTCCTTTTGACCATTTAAAACTCTTGAGAAACACTTAAAGAGCAACCTTACCGACGTCTTTTATCAAATGATCATTTTAGAAATTAACTAAAACACAAATTTTTCCCAAATTCATCCGTTCACAACCAACAAACATGGCGGCTGTTGATGAAAGTTTCTGGTTAGACAGAGGTGCTTCCGAAATTTCCCGAACTCCGGGAATAAATTATTTCAAGGGAAATCTGTCACGTGACTATATTCCGCTGCAATTATTGGTTGATGGCTCGCAAAATATTAGGTGAGCCCCCCGGAATCGTAATTCACATGAGTCCGAATGCTGCATGATGGGATTGTAATAAAATTTTCTAAGCAAGGGAGGGCTCGCTGCTCTCCAAGACCGAGCTTAGCCTGAGTTGTGGATGCAATAGCAGCACATAACGATAGCTGCCGCAGGTCCTTTAGATGATTGCCGGCTTTGATCGATACAATCACAGTGGGGAAACTTTAAAAAGCGGTGATTTTGAATAAGTTCTCAACAGTCGTATTTTAAGAATCAGCAAATTTATACGAAAGAGAAGATTTATAAATATTCCGGTGCGTTTAAAAAGAAAAAAATGTCAATTGCCAATAAAGTTATTAACAATAAATAATCATTTTGCTTTTGAAAATAATTGCAATCATTTTATAATTATTTTTTTTTTATAAATAAAATATTGTTTGTCTCCTACAAAACATTCATTCTCACTCTAGAAGCCGTCGGCTGCAAACACTAAGTCAAAATAGTTATACTTGTTCAGCGGTGTCTATGAGTATAACGATTTTTTTTAATATTTTTTTTTTGCTACGTTTAAAGTTTAGTTTTAGTTCCCAAAAGTGTCCGATTTTCAACGCCATTGTCGATCTTAAATCCGGATTTCTCAAGGTGTCCTCGATCAAACTCTAACAAGTCCAATAAGAAAATAGCGAATTTTAAATTTTTTTTTTTTTTTAATTTAATTACTACAGGGCTAAGTAACTAGATAAGATGCTTTTGTAAACTTTTTTGACTATGTGAGTTACAGGTTTGCACCAAGTCAGCTAGATGTCCGCATCCTATCATATTGAATTGAAAATTGACATAAAGTTATGAACATTTTGTTATAATTAGCGACGTTCCTGTCAAGAAGAACTGGCCTCTCAGGGCAACGCTGGGCTCACTTTGGAAAGCACTCTCTTTTAAATGATAAAGAAACTTTAACAACTTTACTGCGAACTATGAAGTTAGAATCCGACAAAATGACAGTGTCATGACGCATCAGTTCCTCCAGGTTTACGAAACATCAGTTAATTTTAACATACCTCTTAACAACATAGGAGGCCCTGGGTAAGCAATGCACTCGGGCCCCTTAACAACACAATCCACCAGGGCCATGAGTAGGAGGTCACGCCCCGGCTCAAAAAGCGGGGGAAGGGGCGCAAACAGTTCCTGCTCCCCACCAGCTCACCATAGGAATAATAATAACTATTGTTAATAAACGTTCAATTTATTGATGCAAACAAACAAAATCGTTCAAACCAATAACAGTGTTAAAACATCAGAAATCAACTTAATTTAACACAGAATTGATCAATTATCATTATTTACAAATAAGAATAATACATTATTTAATATAAATAAACAATCGTTTGAGTAACTTTTATGCAGAGAATTGTTTTAGAAGTGGTTTAAAGTCGATGGTCTTAAGTAGGGGTCTCAAACTCGCGGCCCGCAAGACGATATTTTGCGGCCCGCTACCTGACAGCAAAGTTTAGTGTTTTTGTGGCCCGTGCGTTTTCCCCATTCTCCTATCTATAATGTAAAGCCCCCTTGGCGGTTTCAGTGGAATCTCACCGACTAATCTAATTCTGATTTTTATTAAGTTTAAACGTTGATTATAATGGTAAAAACCGTTTTAAAATCGGACTAGAAAATTTTATTTTATAACATTTTATGACACAAACATGGCCAAAGTGCTGTTTTAAGAAAACACGCTTCAAATATTGTATATACATCTATACAGTTTTAAAAAGTAAGTTATAATAATAATAAAGTTTGTTGTTGTTGTTTTTTTAAATCACGCTTCATCCCCAAAACCTCAAAGCGCGGTACAAAGTCAACCAAATTAAAAGCGAAATGAAACAATCTATATTTTACCACATTGAAACACAAAACGCACCATTACAAAAATTACAAACGAGGAAACCCGTTCAAAGTCTTTCAACTATTAACAACACAAGCCAATATACATCTAGGAGATAATAGCTAACTCGAAAAGACGGTAAACAACAAGTTAGTGTATTATGCACAACCATAATTGTGTAAATCGTAGCAATCTGACACAGTATCAAAGAACGGTACTTCAATTTTAATTCACCCAAAAAATTATTATTATTCACACTTCCAATAAAACAAATTTTATTTTGAATAAAAACGTTTAATTCAACGCAAAAAATATTGTATGTTATACACTATTTCACACTTCCATTAAGGTATGTTATACACTATTTCACACTTCCATTAAGGTATTTTATACACTTTTTCACACTTCCACTAAGGTATGTTATACACTATTTCAGACCTCCATTAAGGTATGTTATACACTATTTCACACTCCCATTAAGGTATGTTATACACTATTTCACACTTCCATTAAGGTATGTTGTACACTATTTCACACTTCCATTAAAACACTTCAAACTTCCAATTAAAAAATGTTCTTTTTAAATCTATTTACTTCTTTTAAAGTCCTCCTCTACTGTGGGGGCCAAATGTGAACAATGTCGTCTAGAATGGCGTTGAAGACATTCAAACCATTTGCTTTAACACGTCGACGCCACATGAACTCACACATATAAGAATCGAGCGTATGTCTGTGTGTGCCATTGTTTCTCCCTTTTGCCAATTTCCACGTATGTTCGATGCGTTGAGTATTGGCATTCCGTTAGCTTCGTGGTTTTTAGCACATCGTCTGACAGCATGTAATGTATAATACCGTGTTGTTGTAAAAACAAGATACAGCTGACTTCATTGTGAACTAAGGCAGAAATTGTCAAAGAATTCACGGTGTCTACAGAAGCAGTTGTATTTATTAAACCGGATATAACTGCATAGACACAGAATAGCAGTAATGATAATTTTTGCGGCGAATTAAAATTGAAGTACCCAAAGAATCCCTATTAATTAAAAAAAAAATATTAAAATTGCCGCAAGTGTGTACGAGTGATGAGCGATGGAAATTCCGAGCCTGTCAGCTTGGTCACTTTCAAAATAGGAATAGTAAAAAAAGACCTTTTCCACGATTAAAAAAAAAATCAGAATTCATTCTCCCTACAATAGCATCTTCCTTCGCATGAATCATATATAATATAATATATATATATATATATATATATATATATATATATAATATATATATAATAATAATAATAATAAAGTTCATTTCAAAAACACGCTTCATCCACAAAGGCTCGAGGCGCGGTACAAAGTCAACAAAAAACATATCTATAATTTACCACATTTAAAACAAACGCAACACTACAAAAACTAATTACTAGCATACAATTGCAAAGTCTTTCTAGCCATTTCAACCCGGAGCAACACAGCCATTATGCATTAACTGGAAAATAAGGTAGACAATCATCCCAGAAGGTATTTGCGAAATAGATGTGTCTTTAGATCGGTTTAAAGGACTCCAGTGTCAGGTTGTTTCTAAGATCGACAGGAAGGGCGTTCCAAATTGTTGGACCAGCAAATTTGAAAGTGCGCTTTCCGTAAGTCACAAGGCAAACACGTGGTGTCGAGAGTTTGCCACTGTCGGATGAGTTTATAAGTGAAAGTGTATGGGTTTGTTTGTAGGTTTGTCCCACAAGGGCTTCCACGTGGATCGATGGATCTTGACCAAACTTGGCACATATATCCATCATTATCCGGAAGGAACTCTTAAGGGGTTATGAACTTTTTATTACATTACGTTTGGGGCCGGGTGCCCCGAATTCATTTTTTTTTCTTATATGAGCTATATAAAAATAATTAGAAACAAATACTTCTGCATGAATAGATGGATATTGACCAAACTTAGTACACATAGATCATCCATACTCAAATACCGAAGGGTGCTGAACTCATAATATCCATTTTTTTGGGCCGGGGGCCCCATTTCATTTTTCCTTATATAAGGTATATAAATATCAATAGGCTTAGAACTCCTACATGAATGGATGGATGGATCTTGTCCAAAATTATTACACATACACATGATCATCCATATTCAAATACCGAATGGTATTGAACTCATAATATCCATTTCTCTGGGGCCGAGGGGCCCAGTTCATTTTTCCTTTTATAAGCTATATTGCCAATAGGGTTAGGCAACGGTATAGGTTATATGTGAGTTTATGGATCTAAGCCTAGCTGTGTTCATTAGGTTTCTTAGTCCGTATTGAAATATCGGTGGATTTAAAACTAAGAAAATCCAATCTAGAATTTTCCAGAAAGTTCGATAATTTTAAAAGCTATATCTATGGCAATTTTAAGTAGATTTTAATGGGACAAATTTTAACTCTATTATTTATCCGTCTGATATTAAAGGGCCCACTATCTCAGGCAAAGCTAAATCGGTACAATTATGGAATGGGCCCACCGGGGCCCCATGATTAAATTAAAAGAAAAAGGATTATAATTATGGTATTTGTTGAAGATTTTTATCGTATTCAAAAAATAAATAGAAACGTAGTTTTACACGTGTTTCGAGCAGGTTATTAAATTTAATCTAGAATGTTCCAGAAAGTTCTAAATTGTTCCACGGGGATATAAAGTGGGATCTAAGGGACCATGAAATTTTAGTTAGTTCTATTAATTTCTATACTGTCCCGGAGTTTACTGTTCACTCAGTACCACTGAGTAATTTTTTTTATACGGGATCCCAAAGGGGTCGGGATCCCATCATAATCTTTATCTCAAAGGGATCAGGATCCTACCATAAAGCGGAATCCCACCTGGTTCGGGATCCCAACCTTGAATCGATCCACCGGGATCGGGATAAAACCGGGAAACGGGACTGCGCCGGGATCGTTGTCAGAATTGGATTAGGGTTCCAATAGGATCGGGGTCACACAAGGATGGGGTCCTAATTAGAGACCGACGGAAAGTGATTTTCTGATT